CACCCTTCATGATTACCATCCTGCGTCTCGTCTTCCAGGAAGCGCAAGCGGCAGTACTACGACGACACGACGCTCACCTTCTCCAACCCGACATATCACTCCAGCAGCGGCGAGCAGCTGTGCCTCGAGGCTAAGCGAGCGGGTAGCCGCACGCCCGCGCTGCGACCGTCCCGCGCCGCCGCCGCCGCCGCGGGCAAGATGGAGGAGCGAGTCGTCGTCGTTGCCGCGGCGACGACACAGGAGGAGAAGCTGAACAACATCGAGGCAGCAGCCCTCGTCAGCAAGAACATGGACTCGCGCTACGAGCACAACCTCGTGCCGCCGGCGCCCCCTGTCCGCTTCGACAGCCACCACAAGGCGACGAACCTTGCGAAGACGCTCAATGTGCCAAACGGCAAGCACACGGGCGTGCAATACACGGCCATCGAGACGCAGATCTGAGCCCCGCGGAGGAGGAACGCGCTCCAGCGACCGTCGCGCGCATTCTGCGACTTGCCGTTTTATTTATTTCGCGTTGACGCTCGGTGTGATTTTGGTGCGACGCCTCAATCGGATGAGCGGAGAGCCATCTGCTAGCAGCAGATATCTGCTAGTCCGCAGTAGCAGACGCGTGTGCGTTGCTTCCGTAGTCGTCCACACGTCGTGTTCGTGCTCAGGCTGTATTCACACGCTGGATGAGGCTTCGAGCGGTCACAAGTTAAATTTGGTTCAGTAGTGTGGTAGGTACGTTTGCACCATCCCTCGCCGATCATTTGCAGCATTGCAAAGTTGACGGCCGAAATCTCTTTTCGGGAAAGATGAGGATGAGTGAATGGGCCAGCAAGCCTCGATGTTGAATCTGTGTAATTGCGTACCGTTGTGAGCAGTGGGTAGTTAGTGATGCATATTGTAGCTGGCGCCATCTGTTGATGTCGCGCTACGATCGCGTCCGATGAAGCAAAGTGATGAAATGTTCAGCAGCAGCTGCAGGAACATCTAGCGATGACCAGTAGAATGTTCACAGTGAATATTTACTTAGTTGTACTGTTACCGTGCGTTCGAGCGTGCAGGAACGAATTCCCCATAGAAGCGTTCATGTTTGGCACAACCCGACACAATTTGTCTAAACAAGTGTGGCGATGTTTCCCCTCACGAAATTTTTAAAACTAACTAAAAAAGCTCTTTTTACGAGTTAGCCACATTTTTTTACGACTACAGTATGTGTCCGGCACCACACAGGGAAGCGAAGATTTGCCAAGCTGGTGATTCGGCGCTTTGATGTAGCTGGCGTCAGTCACACCACTGCAAACCTGCCACCGTACAAGGGTGGGTACCTGAGATAGGGTAGCATGTGCTTCACCAGCCCCTGCGCGCATCATAGTGTGGGATGGTGAGAAGCTCGGACGCACATTTGCACGCATGAGTGAAAAAAATCAAAATGGTGTTTTCGGGTCGTGTCTTTTCTACGGACTTGCCACATTTTCACAGAGTAATCTCTTTTCGAGCTGCAGCCCTGCAGTGTGTCGAGCTGCAGCCCTGCAGTGTGTAACCTCATATTGGCTCCGAAACAGGCATGCACGTAAAACGCCATCTAGTTAGTAGTTGTTGTCTTTCTCGCGTAGCCGTGGGAAATTCGTAGAGCAAAGCTGTAGGAGCACATGTTTAGACTCGTAAATTTACTATGACTCCAGAGCACTACTTAATAACTCGACTTCTCAACTGTAGATGTCACCACTGTCAGTCTTGATCGCGCACGATGTGAGTGTAGGCATCGGTGCTGCGCTCTTTACTTGTTCACGGTGTAAGGCTTTATTATGAGGTGCAAAAGTGAAAGTGTAGACATTTGCATGTGTGCGTAATAAGCTCAAGTACCTCATCCCATCACGGTCTTGCACACCGACCTCGTCGTATACATATCCACACTTTTATTCGCCGCGTCGTCTCTTTCGCGAAGCGTCGTGCAAAAGGAAGACCCTGCGTTACTTCGACTCTCCTCTCTTACTCTACTGGTACGGGTAGTGGAGACGGAGGCATTCCAGATCTGCTCTTCATTGTTTAGTGTAGCTAACCGCACATGTACATACATACATGCATATCCAGACATAGGTGGGCTGCAATTAACCAGATGTCCCATCAAATTGTAGCATTCGTCTTTGTATCTCTATTACGCCTCTTCCCTTCTTTGCGTGTGATCTTACCAGTCGCCTGCTTTTACTAAGAGCCTACTCTTAAGTGCGTGTTCCGAGTTTTTTAGCCAACCGATTTGCATATCTCTTGCGTATACTTTGATAAATTGAGGGTTGTAAGATTTACATAATTTATTTTTACACATCGCTAGCTGTATATATATAACAATGTTAAGAAGTGTACATAAGAATTTTGTGTGTGAAGATGTTATGTAAATGTGATGAGATTTTGATGAACTCGTTGATCTGTATGACAAGGTGTAATTGTGCTGATCGACCAGGAAGTAAATATTTTAATATTTTGATACATTACACCTGTCATGCATATATTTCCTGTATAGTAACTGTAATCGTGCAACCACATTTATCATGCATCCTCTACTTGTGTTATATATGTTAGTAACTCACCCTATTATTATATGCTACAGATGCATTTTAGTCATCATACATGTAAACATGTTTATTAATCAACCCTCTGGAATAATACTGGGAGAGACATAATATAGATTATGTTACTCATGATATTAATATACACTAGCATTAAAATGGCTTTGATGTTATAAAACGTCAAGATGCATGTACCGTTCTACTGCAATAACATTTATTTAACATTTACATTTTGAAAAACGAATGGCTCTAAAATAATAATTAACAAGTGTGAAAGATCACTGATGAATCGCTACACAGACACAAATGCAATGGTCTACAACCAGTTCTACTGAAATTCCAACAAGGGCATTGCTACTGTAGAAGCTACATTCAAGGAAAACTCTAGCAAGAGCCTCGCACTTGGGAGGTTTGGGAATGAGCACATTCATGATCGAGTTGTTGTCGATTATCTATTTCCTAGTGGTTAACACATTACTGCAGTTCCATTGAAGCGCACACAGTCGATGTGTGCTTGCCAAAACTTGACTTGTGACGAATAAGCTTTGAATGACATGGCCTTGCCCAATGCCAGTTACGGGGACTTTTCCTTGAAAAGGTGAGAGGTAGTCTCTTTATGTAAGTTGTAGTAGCTTCAGTGCATGTGGTCATCTTCTCACTCGTGATTTCCTAGACCGTAGTGAAGAGGTCCTACTCTTGTGGGGCGTTCTCATATTGATGCTTTATTTGCTTCCACAATTTCTGTAAAAGAAAATTAATTTTATAGCTCATTACATCCAAGTCATTACATACTTGTCACTGTCTTATGTGCCATCTAGGCACCTACGAGGGATAACACACATCTAAGTGAGGTTGAGTTTTAATCAGAAAATTGACACTGGTCGCCGGATCGTTAGTTTCTAATAGGTTTAGTGTTATTGGACCTCCTAATCATGGCACACTTTATTAAAAAAAACACTACACATTGGCAAAATTTGAATTGTAAATCTGTAGTACAAGAGACAATTAAGTTGTTATGACAACTGATATCACAGCAATCTGCTCTATAGCTGGGTCCGGCCCTGTAAGATAATATGTAGGGCCTACTGTTTAAGAATATATTTACAGGGTTCCCACACAAATCTAAAGAAATCCCATTACTTTTCTATGATATTAATTATTATTATGTGATTTCCATGACTACTACTAGTACTAGCTCTAGTACTATAGCCGCTTACATGAACTGCCGCTGGCCAGCTCAGCTGCAGCTGCCCTGCTGCCCTGCTGCCCTGCTGCCCTGCTGCCCTGCAGCTGAGCTGCAGCTGGGCAGCTGGCCAGCGGCAGTCAATGTAAGCGGGCTATAGTACTAGAGCTATACTAGTACTAGGCCCTAGTACTAGTCAAAAGGCATTTTTGTAAAGATAATACGGTACAATAACTATGAAAACACTAACTTCCTTCCCACCACCACATTACGTGTAGAACTTGCAGTGAGCGTAACGTTGATTGTGAGTTTTCAGTGGCACACACTCAGTGAGACTGACTCTGTGACTGTGACAGTATGCGTAACCCGTAAGGCCTACGTCGCTACGACTCACCCCGTCGTTCATCCTCTCAAACATGTAATCCGTAGACTGATCAAATGCTCTCTCGAAGAAAACTGCACCAACAGCAATTGTAAGCGCAAACGTCGACGTCCGTCGGAATAGTGTATTATATAATGTAGTTGCAAAAGACATTTTAACTTAGAATTTGAAGTCGATCGACACTAGAAAAGTAGAAGAAATTGTATCCAGAGGTCACTTGTTCTTCTGGCACGATCACAGCGCCACAAGTGCGTTGACCAATCAAAAATTCCGCGGATCCCTATCTATTCGATGTAGTGACGTCACCGGAGAGGCGACCAACAGAGTAGACTGGTCGACAGTTCCACACGCTACACGAACGTCAGTGTAGCGAAGGATATATGCCGGAGTGAAGGTGGCGAACGGGTACCAGTCTAGCAACGGAGCTGCGGAGCAAGCAGACTTGCGACTTACGACGTCTGCGACCTCCGGACCGTATCTACTGACTACTGTGCCAAACTACTTATTTACTTATTTGTATAAATCTCGCCATTGATATTCGGCAATTTCTCAGTAGTTTATCATCTTCTCTCCGTCAAAATTCAAAGAATAATAATGGCATGTGTAACTGAGGTTTCCAAAACCAAAATGTTTGGTGGCTGGCAAAAGGTGGGTACTGCGGCTGGCTGCTGGCTCCTGCTAGTGCATTGGCAGTGTGTGTTTGCTTATTCAGGTGCCACTGTACTTGCGTTATCATTATATTATATTCAACGTGTAATATGTGCAGGTACATTAGTGTTAAATTAGTATTAAATACATCGTCGCCATAAGGCACCACCACTAGTAAAGCTCATAGTCATAGTCATAGGGTCTATGTCCCCCAGGTTAAGTACTGCTGGAACGTACCCTGGTAACTATTTGATATGGTTAGGGTTAGGGAGTAGGCGTAGGCGACTCCCTAGACTCGTTAGTTGAGTAAGCGAGGTACGGTCCGGCATATTAGATATAGTACCAGGGTACGTTCCGGCAGTACCCTGGGGGACATAGACGGTTAGACCCTCTCAGCACTAGTAAAAAGTACCATCATCAACACCAACAGTCAACACACCGACGTATCAAACGATACATTAGTGTGGACCGTGTTCTCATTGAAGGCTATTCCTTCCGAGTGGCTTTCCCTAATCCTCCAAATAAAGGTTTCAGGGTTCTCCCCAGGATGAAATTCAAACAGGGGGGAGGGGAGGGGAAGGGGGAGGGGGGGGGGAAACTAGGGGAGCGTGTTTTTTTACCGTACCACTAATTAATGCGTAAAATCGCCACCACACCATAGACGGTATTTGGGGTTATTGTATATATATAAGATAGCCGAGTCGGTGTTCAGTTAGTGTTGGGTGTGTGACAGGTTGACTGTTTGTACCTACTTGTGTATTGTCTGCAGTGCATGCGTGGTACTGTAAAAATACACGCGCCGGGTGTCATGGTCGAATGGTACTTCTTGACGATCGATTTGCGCGCTGGCAAACTTTTATTGTGGTGGAATTTAATCGGGACGGAGGTAATTTAAACGGGGCGCAACGATTGAAACAGGGGGGAGTTTTCCCAAACGGGGAGCGCGCGCCCCGTTTGCGCAACGTAGGGAGACCCCTGGGTCTATAATTATACATCAGAAAATATCCTGTTGCCCTGTATAGTAGATGTTCTTATTTCTTGTTCTAGGTATTTAGTCACCAAAGCAAGGAATTGAAATGTTCCATGAATTTTGGCATATACCTACCAAGCAAGACGGAAGCATCAAAGTGCCCAGTAGTGTACTGGTTGTCTGGTATTGAATGTTACCAACAAGATCACACAAATAGTCATCAGTTTTATAGTTTTTTTCAAATAAATATTTCGTGTTTGTCAGTACTATAACACAAGAAACACGCTAAATAATATTTATTGCAAACAATTTCATATATATATATATGTGATTAGTTAAATGTGTGCACATTGTAATTGTATTCCATGATCAATGCAGAAAAATACATATATCCACCGTTTATGGTCGGAATTCTTTCCCTTTTGTAGGCCTAACATGCACGGAGCAAAACTTTGTCACGAAGGCAGGAGCGCAGAAGTATGCCGCTGAACATGGGCTGATTATCGTCGCTCCTGACACGAGTCCAAGTACACAACGCACCGACATCACGTCTTTTTACATGTGCTGCCCTCTGGTGTGTTGGCATCTTCAATGCATTTTTCTCCATCACCTCGCTGACGTGCGCGTGGCGCTAGGTTAATCACGACTCGCGAGCAAGTTTTTCTTCACTGTATTATTCGCCTCTAGCCACTACGCATCGTGGCAGTGACGGCCGTTACTTGATGTACCTTCTGACGTTTACTGGGGTCGGTTTACAGGAGGGTGTAATATAGAGGGCGAGGACGACAGCTACGACTTTGGTTCAGGTGCGGGATTCTACATCGACGCGACCGAGGACAAGTGGAAGAAGAACTACCGCATGTATACGTACGTGACCGTGGAGCTGCCAGCGGTACGCACGCGAGCATCGCTCGTCACCTGCACCCTACACATCTGAACCTATTTATACAATTGAATTAGTTGGGCAGCGATTCAGGTGTATGCCGCCCTAACTTCAACTGTTTCTTGTTTACAGCTAATCGAGGAAAACTTTCCGGCACAGCCCGACAACTGCTCCATCTTCGGTCATTCTATGGGAGGTCACGGTGCTCTCGTCTGCGCTCTAAAGAACCCTGGGAAGTACAGGAGTGTCAGTGCCTTCTCACCCATATGCAACCCATGCGACTGTCCTTGGGGAAGGAAGGCATTTACTGGTAATAAGCATCGTCAATCTCTATCCAACGTCATGTCGGTCTGTTAATTCAGAATGTCATATAGATGACCTCGTTAGGCAGGCTTTACAATGGGCAATTACTTGCTGCCAGAGAAAAAGGCAGGCAGCAAATTTACCTACCCAGGCAGAATATTTGGTGCCTTTACTTTGGTTTATTGAGAACTTCTTGGAACTAAGTGTTTGCTGCCAACATTGAGAGCAGGCAACAAACTAACTGCTGGAGGCAGCAAATCTGTTTGCTTTCTGCCTTTAATTTTGAACCCTGTTATGTCCCGGCCGAGTAAATGCGCGATGTGATGTGAATGGTGGGTAAATCGTGTGGTCAGGTAGTCTGCATAAAAGAAGAGACTAGGAAATGAATGGAACAAGCAAGGTGACAGGGTGCATGAAGGGGGTTGGGTAGTACTGGGAGAAATAACTGGAACAAGCAGGGGGACAGGGTGCATGAAGGGGGTTGGGTAGTACTGGGAGAAATGAATGGAACAAGCAGGGGGACAGGGTGCATGAAGGGGGGGGGGGTAGTACTGGGAGTAACTGATGTGTTAGGGTTCCTTACAGCTAGCTGCCTGCAGCATCGGTGGCTACTCGACAGCGGCAACACAAGTTATACAATCCGAGCAACAAGAACAATATGGCACCAGATCTATATTGTACTGATATCATATATGGACTGATATTGTGATTGCATTCCTAGGTTATCTTGGCAGCAACGAGGCTGACTGGAAGAAATACGATGCTACGGAACTGATAAAGTCGTCTGATGGGCCACCCCTCGACATCCTTATTGATCAGGTCAGTCTGCGCACAGTCTGTGCATCAGCTGTCACTAGAAATTGATCTCATATTTCGCCTGGTAATGGTTCCGGGTTCAGTCAAGATTTTTGTCGAGTCATACCCAGATGTCAGTGGGTGCCTAGGGAAATTCCATTGGTTATTAATCCAGGGGTGCGTTTCTGGAAACAAAATAAATCTTTACATTAGTATTAACTTGTTCTCATAGACCGTTGAGTCTTGACAGAAACATACGCAGTGTGTATATTGGTCCAGACTCTGAGAAAAATATATTGTTAAGAATAATGTTACCTTAATAAGTTAATAGTGGCCCTGGGACTTTGTGACACTGGCATGAACACTGCATACATTGTTGTACCCTACCAGAAATGTCAATGGTTCGATATTAGGGGTGCATAATTCTGGTGTTACTCTCATTGCTAAGGGTTACACCAGACGAGCTCACTCTACATTGCTACTCACTTTAATTAATAGTAATAATATTAGTATTTAAATAATTATTAATTATTTAATATTATAATAATATTATTAATAATTTTTCCGTTGCTTTGTTGTTGTTGTTGTTGTTGTTGTTGTTGTTGTAATTGTGTTATTCGTCGTCTTCCTCTTCTTCTTCTTCTTCTTCCTGCTCTTCTTTCTCTTCTTCATCTTCATTGTCTTCTTCTCATTATTATTATTATTACAGGGCAAAGCTGACAACTTCTATGAGCAGAAGCAGCTGCTTCCCGAGCGACTGCTCGAGGCGTCGGTGCCGTCCCGCCACCAGGTGGCGCTGCGCATGCAGGAGGACTATGACCACAGCTACTTCTTCATCGCCACGTTCATGGAGGATCACATCGCCCTCCACGCGAAACATCTGAACACTTAATCACCCCACGCCCCTTCATGTCTGCCACCCACATGTCCCTCCTGCCTCCGTGAGCAAGACCACCACAAGATAATTTCTCTTCTGTGGCCAGGCAACTCAGAATTGCAACCGCGTGTCAGTAGGTGGTCAAATTCATATTGATTTCATATCGTACGCCCCTCCCTCCCCCTACTCCTCCGACAGCCCTTTGACTCTCTCTCGTACCACCTTTCCTCGTATCCTCCTGCGTGAAAGTATAGCCGTCGTTGCATGTCGTACCTGCGTGCAGAGTATAGCGTTGCATGTGCCTTACCTGAGCTGCAAAAGTAGAGCCGTGTATGCATGTGTACCTGAGTGAAAAAGAGTATAGCCGTGTGCCATGTCGTACCTGAGTGCAGAAGTATAGCCGTGCTGCATGTCGTACCTGAGTGCCCAGGGGTGCTATAAGCCGTGTGCATACTCGTACCTGCGCTTCAAAGATAGACCGTGTGCATGTCGTACCCTGAGTGCCAGAGTATAGCCGTGTGCATGTTCGTACCTGCCCGTGCAAGTATTAAGCCGTGTGCATGTCGCTACCTGAGTGCAGGTATAGCGTGTGCATATCGCTACCTGCGTGAAAGTATAGCCGTGTGCATCGTCGACTACTGCGTGCAGAGTATACGCCGTGTGCATGTCGATACTGCGATGCAGAGTATAGCCGTGTGCATGTCGTACCTGAGTGCCCAGAGTATAGCCGTTGTGCATGTCGTACACTGAGTTGCAGAGTATAGGCGTGTGGCATATCGTCCGCGGTGCAAAGTATAGCGCTGTGCAGTTCGTACCTGCGTGCAGAGTATAGCCGTGTGCATGTCGTTACAGTGCAAAGTACTAAGCCGTAGTGCATGTCGTACCTGAGTGCAGGAGCTATAACCGTGTGCATGTCTAATCTGAGTGCAGAGTATAGCCGTGTGCATGTCGTACCTGAGTGCAGAGTATAGCCGTGTGCATGTCGTACCTGCGTGCAAAGTATAGCCGTGTGCATGTCGTACCTGAGTGCAGAGTATAGCCGTGGGCGATGCTCCGCTACCGTGAGTGCGCAGAGTATAGCGGTGTGCATGTTCGTACCTGAGCTGCAGAGTATAGCCGTGGCAGTCGTAACTGAGTGCCAGAGTATAGCCGTGTGCATGTGATACCTGAGTGCAGAGTATAGCCAGTGTGCATGTCGCTACTGAGTGCAGAGTATAGCGTTTGCATGTCGTACCTCGAGTGCCAGAAGTATAGCCGTGTGCATGTCGTACACTGAGTGCAGAGTATACCGTGTGCATGGTCGTACCTGAGTGCAGATATAGCCGTGGCTGCCACTGTTGTTACCTCGAGTGCAGAGTATTGGCCGTGTGCACATATCGTACCCTGAAGTGCAGAGTATAGCCGTGTGCATGTCGTACCTGAGTGCAGAGTATAGCCGTGTGCATGTCGTACCTGAGTGCAGAGTATAGCCGTGTGCATGTCGTACCTGAGTGCAGAGTATAGCGTGTGCATGTCGCTCACCTGGGAGTGCCAGAGTATAGCCGTGTGCATGTCGTACCTGCAGTGCAAAGCTATAGCCGTGTGCATGTCGTACCTGCGTGCAAAGTATAGCCGTGTGCATGTCGTACCTGAGTGCAGAGTATAGCCGTGTGCATATCGTACCTGCGTGCAAAGTATAGCCGTGTGCATGTCGTACCTGCGTGCAGAGTATAGCCGTGTGCATGTCGTACCTGAGTGCCAGAGTATAGCCGTGGCATGTCGTACCTGCGTGCAAAGTATAGCCGTGTGCATGTCGTACCTGAGTGCAGAGTATAGCCGTGTGCATGTCGTAAGTCGATAATTCGTCGTGGTGAATTAATAACGGACACCGCATCTGATGTTGCATTTCGATTATGTAGATAGTTGAAACTGTAGTCAACCCTGTGTTTAAGGATCATTCAAAAGAAACCCCAAAAGAGTTATATTGCTAGATGTATGCCCATCCCATATCGTAATAAGCTAACACAGGCTTGACTACACGTTCAAAATCTTTAGGAGGGATAGGCATACAATTAGTATTTCCCATTGCTTTTGTTCACATTGTAGAAGTGGAGCCGAGGTTATTCATGCTGTGATACACTCTAATCATGATCGCAAAGGTGTGGCGAGTCTCTTACTGTGATGACACTGGGAAGAAGCAATTAAAACAAAATTTTGCATGGCTTATCCAGTATCGGTGCCTTCACGGCAATGAACTAAAAGAAAACACTGGAAATTTATCAAATATTGTATGTCTGTAAACTCGCGAAATGTTAGTCTATTTTGCATATGTTATAAACATATTATTTGAAAACTAATATGCTATTATTTCCTGCAACCTCTTACTTTCTCTTTTCAATCTTCTTAATTTGAGCATTCGTTCGGCCACCTAATGTCACGTGTCACATATTCTATCCAAACCCATGTAACTAATCTCAAAACTGAAGTCCCCATGTTATCGGAAATAAACAAGATGCAATCCTCTTGCTATGTCGAAACTATAGTTAGATGGTTGGTTATCCCAATACAAGGAACGTTGAAACTAGAGATACAACATATCTAACCATGAGTATTCTTGCATACTCTAATGTCGAACCTACTTGTGGTTTAAAACAATTTGTTCGGCTATTTTGTGATGCCTGTACATGCCTTGGTTTGTTATTAAAACCTGAAAAACAATGCATTTTCATCTTCTTTCTTTATTCTGGTAAGGACCGCCTAGAATATATTACCCCATTTCTTTTCTGATAACTTTCATACTACAGTATTAATAGTTTCTGCACGGATACAAGACCATGTTTTAAGCAACAAAGATGCACTTACAGTATAATTCACCTAACAACTTTTAGCAGTAAGTCATTGAAGATTGCAGAAGTCGCTATCGATATCTCAGTTTCAAGACAGACCGTTTACATCTGACTGAGAACATGCATATAATATTAACCTGTTATTATATTTACCTAAACTCAGTGAGGGGTGTACAGGGGTTGTCTTACTCCCACCTCCCTCCCCTTCTCCTCCTGCCTTCCTCCCCCTCTCCTTCCACCTCCCTCCCCTGTCCTCCTATCTCCCTCCCTCAACACCCCCAGGATCCTTTATATTTTGCATTTTCCTTTTTGAATGTCACTTAGTTTCTCTGACAGTTTGCATAATAAATGTATTAATCCTGTACAATGTATTTTCTCATGTATTTATTTCTCGTGCTATGGATTTCTTTTATTTTTCTCTACTTAGTATACTCTCTATCTCTAGTATAATATTTTGTTTTTGATGAAAATCCTCCCGCCCACTGGCCTCCCTACTCCCGCTCCTTCCCCTCCCGCTCCCCGCCCCTTTTCTCCCGTCTCTCGCCCCTCCTCTCCCGTCCCCAGCCCCATGTACCACCTCTTCAATAATGTAGCAGCGACTTTGATCAAATATAACATCTTCGCGCCATCTATCGGGAGAAATAATTCATATGCGCACATTGTATGTTGTGTGTAACCGTAAAACGCATATTAAATGTATTATAATACTCTAAAACGTATTTATTTTAACGTAAGTAAAATTAATATACTTACAATGCCTATACAGCACAACATTTACTGGATAAGATTGGTAAATGTTTGGCCGTGAAATTCCCATCCTACACTTCGATGTATGTACCACCCTCCTCAATGTGTGTTATAATTTAATCGTGACTAAATGCAACAACAGATGGCGCTATTCCATCATTCGCCCGCTCGGGATAATCTCGTACACGTGTAACTTACATCATCTCGCGTCTCGTGTATTTTTATATGTCGGCGAAAGTACGGCGTTAACTCAGTTCAACTCACCTTGTAAGTATATGAGGTTAGAACACCTGGGCTTGACAACAGACCCTGGATCAGTAAGCCTTATCTATACTGAGCACACATCAAGTGCACTCTGGTAGAATTGATTGTAGTGTAGTCTAGCTGTTACAGTCTAATATCATAATCATAATGACATATGTCGCCGCTGGCATTTGCTCACTCGCAAACCGTGTGCCAGCCAGCCAGTGTTGCAATCGAGTCAAGGTAGCAATTTTCGGCTGATATAACTTTTGAAATAAACTACGATAGGAAATAAAACTTCGTATTCAAAATGACAACCGTCTTGCATGTTTATGTAAACATTTTAAGAATTTTTAACGTAACAGTTTTATAGTTAGAATGTGTTAAAAACCCGACCGAGTATAACTTTGGGAGGTATGCAGGCCCTAGCTGCGAGCCATATACTCGGCCCTCTACTAGTGCTGATTAGCACTAGTAGTAGAGGGCCGAGTATATGACTCACAGCTATGGCCTACCTAAAGCGACGGCTTTAGGTATTTCTTTGATTTTCTATGTAACACGGCCGTAATTAAATAGTGAAAAGGTTGTCGTGCATTTTGCATGACAGAATTCACAGGTTTTGTCTATGGAAGGGTATTGGGCCCTAAAATAACAGCAGAATATAAAAAATTTTAGGGCACAATTTATTGGTCTAGCACTCGCGACTCGCTGGTCGGGGTTCGATAAATAGCAACCCTGTTCTCCGCCTACCGTAGTGTGTATACTCTTATACACACTACGGTAGGCGCAGAACGGGGTTGCTATTTATCGAACCCCGACCAGCCAGTCGCGAGTGCCTGTGGCTGTGTGCTGAGAGGGTCTATGTCCCCCAGGGTACTGCCGGAACGTACCCTGGTACTATCTAATATGCTGGACCGTACCTCGCCTATCCACTAACGAGTTTAGGGAGGCGCCTACGCCTACTCCCTAACCCGAATCCTAACCCTAACCCTAACCATATCAAATAGTTACCAGGGTACGTTTTGTAGGATGCCCAGAACCTGTCAACGAGATGGTATACAAAGCATATATGAGGCCAAGCCTCGAGTATGCAAGTAGTGTCTGGGATCCACACACACAGAAGGATATCTCTTCCCTGGAGAAAGTGCAGAGACGAGCAGCGCGCTTCGTAACGGCAAATTACCAGCAAACTGAGAGTGTTACGCAAATGATCGCACACCTACAATGGCCCTCCTTGCAGGAACGCAGGTTTGTCAACCGACAGGCCCTATTCTGGAAAATAATCAACGGACAGGCAGCAGTCGACATTCCATCCTTCCTCACCAAAAGCACCGGCATATGCCGCGGCACACACCGGCTTACATACAACAACATCAGAACCCGGACAGATGGGTACAGGTTCAGCTTCATTCCTAGAACAATCAGAAGCTGGAATCTGCTACCGGAGTCACTATATACTCACTAGTTCAACAGCACAGCAATTCACTGGGTCCCTCTGGCAAAACATTGAGTCAGGCAGCATCGTTGTTATGCCACCTCGAGGAAGTGAAACGCGCATCTCCGGCTGGGCAACTACAACAGCTCGCAACAGCCTATTGCCATATATGCTAGTGACGTCGCACTCAGTAATGAGTGCCTGGCCCAGAGAAGCCTCGATCTCTGGAACACATTACTGCCTACATTTAAAAAATATTCCATGCATATCTCTCACGTGCACCTGGAGTGTTCGCGCACTCCCTGGACGTTTATTCCTTACGGACTGTCCAGTATAGTAGAAGTAGAAGTTCCGGTATACCGGACCGTACCCAGGGTACGTTCCGGCAGTGTCCTGGTGGACATAGACCCTATGAGCTCTACTAGTACTATCACTATCAGCTGTGAAAGTTGTTTGACCGGTCCCATTGAATTTTGTTCCGTTTTTCACAGGAGGCCCCCTGATCATTGGAAAAGGCCCAGAAAGTCACTGAAACGATGTCTGACGATAAAAAGGTTGTGTTGGCATACAGCGGGGGTCTGGACACATCCTGCATCTTAGTGTGGCTCCGTGAACAAGGCTACGAGGTGATCGCATTCCTGGTGAGTCAGTAACAGTCGCTTGAAATCAGCCGTGTGTAAGTTGGTGTCACAGCGTGACGGTGCATTTAGGAATTCTCTTTCGTCTTCCCTGGTTTCTTGTAGAACTGAGGCTTTTCTGCTGCATTCTGCAGTGCTGATCTATCAATTTGATCAACTTTGCCTCTCTTCCTTTTTGGTATAAGCGCTGTCCTCAATTCATTTTCGCAAATGTGCAAATGTGGACAGCTCTTATATCCTTGGGCCCAGTCCTGTGGACTTGGAAGACAATTAATCCTTGCAAGACCACGAGATTATGTGCAAACCTGTTCTTTGAGATGTGTACCCAATACTTGTTGCATATCAGCTGGGGGGCAGATGCAGAGGGAGGGGGTCATCAGGGGGGCAGATGCAGAGAGAGGGGGTCATCAGGGGTGTAGATGCAGAGGGAGGGGGTCATCAGGGGGGCAGATGCAGAGAGAGGGGGTCATCAGGGGTGTAGATGCAGAGGGAGGGGGTCATCAGGGGGGCAGATGCAGAGAGAGGGGGTCATCAGGGGTGTAGATGCAGAGGGAGGGGGTCATCAGGGGGGCAGATGCAGAGAGAGGGGGTCATCAGGGGTGTAGATGCAGAGGGAGGGGGTCATCAGGGGGGCAGATGCAGAGAGAGGGGGTCATCAGGGGTGTAGATGCAGAGGGAGGGGGTCATCAGGGGGGCAGATGCAGAGAGAGGGGGTCATCAGGGGTGTAGATGCAGAGGGAGGGGGTCATCAGGGGGGCAGATGCAGAGAGAGGGGGTCATCAGGGGTGTAGATGCAGAGGGAGGGGGTCATCAGGGGGGCAGATGCAGAGAGAGGGGGTCATCAGGGGTGTAGATGCAGAGGGAGGGGGTCATCAGGGGGGCAGATGCAGAGAGAGGGGGTCATCAGGGGTGTAGATGCAGAGGGAGGGGGTCATCAGGGGGGCAGATGCAGAGAGAGGGGGTCATCAGGGGTGTAGATGCAGAGGGAGGGGGTCATCAGGGGTGCAGAATAACCTGCACAATTTCTCTTAGTTTAAATTGTAGTTCATAAGGCAAAAAGTACATCAAATTTTTAACAAATATGTAGTATATATACATGCAGCTTGAATATGCAGATATCAATATCAGATTCAATCAAAGGTACACGAAAAGCAAGCCAGTTGCTGACTGTATAGTTAATTGTAATTTAATTAATTAATACTAATTTGCTCATAATATAGTCCTGCCACACAGGATCCGAGGTTGTAGAGCTCTACGTGTTCTGTCAGGTGGCGGAGTTCCAGGGGCACGCCCACTTCCCTGCGCGGGGTCGCGATTCTGGCCACATTCGGCCTGCTAGGGAGTGCAGCAGGAGTAGTAGGCGGGGCAGCAGTTGTGACGCGGGGCGTCCCGCTGGTACTGGGTGCAGGCGATGGCACTGATGGTGGTTTTGCAGATGGGAGTGGTGCTGGGGTAACCGCTGGTGGGGCGGTGGTCGGCAATGGCGGCAGCGCGGCAGCTGGATCTGCTGTCCTGGGCATTGAAGACCGTAATGTTTAGAGAATGTGTCCATGTGTCCTGGTTGGCATGAGCAGACGTCACCGAGAACACCTCGCACCTGCCGTGTTCTCGATGATGAGTTTGTCAGCATAGAAAAGAACAACCATTTGTCTCTGACGTCACTTTTATTCTAGGCAGTGGACGTGGGACAATGCTGACAACTGAAACATATAAAATGACAGATGATTAGACAACTGAAACTGATTATAATCAATCTACTCTAGATACAGGATTATATTTTATACTATATTTTCGCTTCACATTGCAGGCAAACATCGGGCAAGATGAAGATATGGCAGCAGCCAAAGAGAAAGCAACCAAACTCGGAGCAATTAAGGTTAGACTTGGAGAGTATATATTTATAAAATATATATATTACTATAAAGGTATATATATACAAAATATATATATTAGGTTGATCATCAATTTATGTCGAATATATGTTTATATATATACTAGTACTTCCAAAATGTTATGATTTTGAACAAATCTTTTGAAATTTTACATAAAGCTTTGCATGTTTATTGAAATTCTGCATATGGAGTAAATGATAGAAACAAATTTTGGGCATTTCACTAGCAGAATGAAAACCGGCCATGCGATTCCTGTTAGTTTATTTTATACGTGGCATTATAGTATTTATACGTGGTTTTACTTTACCTGGCGTTTTCGGCGTTTGGCAGATTTTCATTCCGGATGTGCGCGAAGAGTTTGTGGTGGACTTCATCTGGCCAGCAGTGCAAGGTGGCGCCATCTATGAGGATCGCTACCTGCTGGGAACGGCGCTGGCCCGACCGTGCATTGCTCGCAATATGATCGAGGTATATGCCACGCCACCTGCTGGAACTTTCTGGCACTGTAAATCAGGAAGTGATGTAAGATTGCCCTCTCCAGAGTTGACTGTGTGAACCCATTTCACGAATCCATTTTTGTTTTGTCAGGTTGCTAAGGCGGAAGGTGCCAAGTACATTTCTCACGGAGCGACGGGCAAGGGAAATGATCAGATACGGTTCGAGTTGGCTTGTTACGCCCTCTATCCCGAAGTGAAGGTACACATGAAATTCCTTATCTCTAGTGGAATCTGAGTAGTGAATGTAAACCAGGGTGTTAGCCAGGAAAAAAATCAGGGAGTCTCACCATCTGAGC